ATTCAGGTCGAGATAACTGCACGGTGTGCTTTGTCCTTCCCAGTTACAAAGCATAATCAAAACATATCGTGAATATTTAAATAAAATATTTATTACAGTGAAAGACACACTGCCGTTAACCCCCCTGAAAGTACGTGCTTATCTCGGGTTCTCCCCACTTTCCAAAGCAGTTCGAGTCCTCTCTCGGGAGTGTCTTTTGTGGCAGCCTCGATGGTACCTGAATTGTTCTAAAATGTTTACAGCAATTTTCATCAAGTACATACACTGCCGTGGTCCTCGTCCACCCTCCTCGCCAGGTCTGGCACTGTGTGACGTCGGGCTCTCCCCACAGTCAAATGACCGTGAGAGGCAAACATTGTCAGTCCACTTAGGACATGGCGGCAGCTGCAACAGAGCAACTAAAGACACAGAAGTAGCTTCCAGAACTCCTCGAAAGTGACAGAGATGGTGGGGTGCGTGTGTGCGGAGTGAGAGGAGGAGTCTGAGGGGGATGAATGCCAGTGTGTCTTTTGCTGTAATAATTTTAATTTAAGCATTCATGGTATTATTTTACACACCCTGTAGTCAAATCAGTATTTGTAAAGGATGATGTTTTAAAAATTAAAGACAGGACAATTTTTATATCAGAAATTAACATAAAAATAAGATGTCTCTGCCCAACATTTCCTCATTTTATTTTATTTACTTCTCCTCCTCCAAAATAATAACTCATCTTGAAATAATAATAATTATCTGCAGCCATATCACCCTGAACACGCCAATCTCCCCTGAAACAGTAATAGTAATTCATGCTCTTCTCTGGCCTGCTTTCCCCCTGTCGGTTAGACCCCGGTACACCCAAGTGAGCACTTAGACAGGGCTAGTGAAGAAGCGCAGATGGCTCGGGGGAGTCTGCATGGGTGGCCCGGGCCCTCGGGAAGAACAGGCAGGCACAAGCATTACCACTCTGAAGCCTCAGGAGCGAGAGAGGGTTCCAGAGCCCAGAGGATTACAAGAACTCTCTACCAGTTCAGCTGGAGAAAGAAGTGGGGTTCTGAAAGAGATGTAGCCACCACACAGCCGCGGCCGGGCAGACGGAGGCAGGAGGAATCAGAGCCCCCCGGTTCGCCAGTCTCCTGTTCTCCCCGTGTCCTTCTGGTGCCCCCGGGACCACACCCCAAGCAACCTGTGGGCAGGGCCCATTGCTACAGGGCAGCAAGATCCGCGTCCAGGGCCCTGACCAGGGTGCAGGGAGGAGCAGAGTGGCCTCTAGGGTCGGATCGGGCAGACCAGCCATTCCCTTAGCAGGTGACAACTTTACACGTCCAAGCAGCTTTCTTACAACTTCATTAAGATTGCTTAATAGTTAGTCATGTGAAATTAATTTAACCGACCCCCATCGTCAACCTTCAGGCTATTTCTCGTTTTCCTGAAGACTAAAAATCAGTGTGATAAATGTATATGGAGGGCGGCTTCCAAAAAATGTATACATCTTGAAAAGGAAAAGTGTGTATGAACATTTTAATATGAAATTCATTGAGATATCATGAGATTAATGCTAGTTACCTTTGGTCTCCACAACTCAAGAGGTGCTTAAAGTGAAGGCCATCGGCTTCTAGACATTTATTAGTACAGCAAACTGCTGAAGTGTATATACGTTTTTTGGCAGAAAATACATATATTTGCAGGCATTTTGAGTTGTTCTCTTTGGATATATCCCTGAAAAATTGCATTGGGTCAGAGTTATAGCCAGTTTTGAAGCTTTTAGTCTATTCTACCCCCAGATGTAGAGATGACAGATAGTAAATAAATGTGAGATGAAGATCTGTGGGGATAATAAATGTGAACTGCGTTGTTCAAAAGAAAGAGGTAGAGGAGAAAGCAGAGCTGCCCCTCTGGAAGGATTTGGGAAGTGCTTCCTGTCCCAAAACTGTTGATGGTCTTTCACAGCATGTCATTACGTTTCTGAGTCCACACTGCATCAGCCTTCCAAATCAGCAGTTTGTTCTTGCCGTAGCTCTAGAATGCAATGCTGTGTTAATGACACAAATAATTATAAGTTAAACAATAAGGTTTTTTCCATAATACATTTTCCCTTCTCTTCCGGTGAGAATGGAAAATGTAGTAAAACCTTCTGCGTGTAGCTGGCAGTGCAGGGAGGGAAGGCTGGAAATGTGCGGTGTAAAAAGGACGCTGTCTACAGTTCAGCCCTCAACAGGCAGGGTGTCCGCATAGACATCCGGAGAAGTTCATTTTCAGCCAGGTAAGGCAAGCAGCACTGATTGTGTTGAGAGATTTTAAATTCTTCAGATCAGTGGCCTTTCGGCAGATGTCCTTTGAACGTAGATAGTTTACAAGGTGAGCTTCACAGAATGCTGCGTAAGCTAAGGTGTCACCTCTGTGCGGCCCCAGAACCAATGTCCTGAGGTCGAACACAACAAATAGATACTGAGCGAGGTACTTGTTAAACACTGAGGTGGAGGTTGGCAAGAAGCCAGAGTTTGCTATGCTGAAACGCTCTGTCTGTCCCCAGCACACCTCTTGAAAACTCAACAAAAGGAAAACAAAAAAGGGAAAGAATCAGAGCTCAAAGCTCACCCTAACTCCTCCTATCCATCACTTAGCCTTCTTTAGCCAGCACATGTTTTGGGAGGTCCTGGCAGGAGCCCCGAGGAGGTGCACGTGTAGCTGAGGAGAGATAAAGAGCCAGAGGTGGTGCTCATCCCAGCTCCAGGGGTCTTGGAGAAGAGAACACAGGGCCTACCACTAGTTCACTGGTTACAGAAAAAATACCGGTCAACTTCATTGTACCTTAGGCATCTGAATCCTCTACTTGAACAGAGGAGTGGTAAGGAGTTATGCCAATAACATTTGTTTTTCTGTGATCAGGACCAAGCTTTACTACTTAACAGTTTTAATGATTGCTCGACATATTTTTGCAAAGACAAGGAACAAGCAGTCGTACAAATAAAACCTATTTTGGCAGAAAACTACCACTGTGATTGTCATTTCCTAAAACAGGAATTTGAGGCCTTCAGGAAATCCCTAGGATGTAGACGGAATCTGGCTTTACGTTTTGTGTAATAACATGCTGATTCTCACAGCCGTTGTCTGACTCACTGGTGAGAAGCATCGAATGGCACGATGAGTATCAGAACTTTCTGGAATCTTGTTTCCTGCATGAACATGGAAATAACATGCGTCTTGCCCGTTCCTTTCCCACTCTCGTTAGGCGACAGTTTTGCTTCTCTCTGTCTCCTCGGTCTCACACGCATCTCCGTCTCTGCCCTTGCCTTGTGCTCCCTGCCTCCCTGCCTCCCTCACTGAGGCACTGGAAACGGGAATGCCTTTTCTCTCCTGTACCAAACTGGCCAGCTCCCTCACCCAATCTGCCGTCTGGTTTCTCTGCTTTTACGGTTCGGTGCTGTCGCCTCACGTCCACTCAGCCCCCGCGCTTGCTGTAGGGGCCAGTGCTTCCCTCCGACATCCGTGGCAAAGCGCCCTGCATCAGCCACACCTGTGCAGTCATTCCCATCCGTGTAGACTCACTTCCGTGTCCTTCCTGTCCGTGAGCCTTCTCTCGGCTGCTCACCGTCCAGCAAAATGTCTTGAAAATGCTGCCACATACTCTCCCCCGACCTTAAAATCTCGCTGACTCCGCAGTCCTGATGTCCATCCCTACCTCTCTGTGATCCTGCTGTTCATGGGCCATAAATCAGTGGCCTCCATTTGCCCAATCCGAGGGACACTCCCTTGGAGCTTAGCACTGTGAGAGCTTAGCATCTTCCTTCCCGAAACGCTTTCTTCTGCCTGGCCGTCCTGGTTGCGCCTCTCTTCCTTCTGCTGCTCAGGCTCCGGCCTGAGACACTTGAGTGCCGCCGCGGTGTCCCAGACACTGTGTTCCTCTGCGCTGCGTCTTCCATCAGCTGAGCCCACCCGGACCCAAGCCAGAGTGCAGCCTCCTGACTCCAGACTGATACCTCCAGTCCCGACGTTCCTGAGGTCCAGGCTCACATGCGCAGCATCCTGCTTGCAACCTCCTTTTCCTAGTAATGGGAACCTCGAAATTAATATTCCAGCAGCCATCACAACTCACCCGCTTGTTCCAAGCTAAACTCCAGAAGTCATCTTTAACGCATCCCCTTGGTCATTCTGACGTTCAGCCTGGCGGCGGAGGCGCTGGCCCGGCCCCCACCCTGCCCTCGTGTGCACTTCTCTTCCTACTCCCGGTCCAGGTACTCCAAGCCACCCTCCTCTGCAACCCGCAGAAGCGTCCACAGTGGTGGTGCGACTTGCCCTCTCCCCCAAAAGGAACTCGTATTTTTAAATCTAAATTGTGAACACCACCCTGCCTCTGCCGTGCTGGCTGCTGTCAGTGAAGGGTTATTGTCGTTGGTGCCCGGCTACCGGATTCACATACGCCTTTGTGGTCCTCATAAACCCAGGAGCAGGCACCATTATCGCTCCTTATAAATAAGAACACTGTGGGCTTGGGAGAGAAGTCTAACACAGCACCCTCACCATGTGCTGAACTGGTTCTGAAAACCACTGAGACCCTCAGTGAAAAACATGGCACTGTGCCCTGGGGGGAAGGGCGGCTCCTGGAGCCAGAATCCGGGAGGTGCTCCCACCTTTGCTAGTAACCAGCTCGTTTCCTGGGCGCTCTTTTGCTGATGCTTTCTTAGCATCTGCAAGATAGAGATTAATAAAAGCACCCCCTTTTAGAATTAAATGAGATAACACGTAAGTCCCCAGTGAATATTAGCCACCATGACCACCTTCACAGAGATGACCTGAAAAACTCCAGCAGAGTTCAGTTCTCATAAAGAGTTAGGGAAACTACCTGAGTTCACCGTGGTACTCATACCCGACCCAGGAAGTTCCGAGAAGGGAGTGCTGAGTTACATCAAGAGCATGGAGGGGCTGCTGCTTTTCTAATGAAGAAAAGCAAGGTTGAGATAACAAGACAGATATCAAATGGTTCGTCTTCATTTTAACATAACTTTCTCTCCCTGGCTCAGAACTCCATGAAGGTGATGTTCAAATGCCTCTGGAAGAACTGCGGCAAGGTGCTGAGCACTGCAGCAGGTATCCAGAAGCACATCCGGACCATCCACCTTGGGTAAGGCAGCCCTCCCCTCAGAGAGGAGCTGGGCTCCGGGGGGCGGGCTGGGCCCCGGCCCCGAGACCGTGCTCCACGCGGTGCCTCGGACGCTCTGCACCTTATCTCTGCGTGGCCACCGCCCGTTCTACGTCACTGGGTAAAGCCCTTCCAGAGTCGAGGTGAGTCACCGCTCTGGGCCTCGATTCCCCCCAGAGAGACGGGGTGGCCAGGTCATCTGTGAGGTGGATGGCAAACATGGGAGACACCGCTGAAGTACAGAACACTAGCAGAGGGGCCCCTAATCTGGGATCTGTGGTCGTGATTCAGAGGTCCTTGCACCTCCTAAAATGGTCTGTAAAGTGAAATGTGTATTTATTTTTCCAGCAGAGAGTGCTTGTGGCTTTGGGCCTCAAAGGGATATCTTGCCTAAAAGGGTTTAAGAGTGAATCACTGTACCAGTCACAGTTGCTCTTCTCAGAATGCCTCTTGGTGGCCTGGCGTGGTGGCACACACCTATAATCCCAGCACTCTAGGAGGCTGAGGCAGGAGAATGGAAAATCTGAGCCCAGTCTCGGCAACTTAGCCACGGATCGAGACCCTGTCTCCACAAAGCGGGGGTGGAGCCTGAGGATGTAGTTCTGTGAGAAGGCCCAGGGTTCAGTCCCTAATAGCACAAGAAGAAAAGATGCCTCTTGGTCTGGCTCAGTCTTCCTGTCACCCAAACAACTGCTTTATCTGTAAAATCTACACTTGGCCTCTTGTGCCAGAGGAGGCTTTGTCAGGGAGTTAAAATGGAACTCTGGGAACCGAAGCGCTCAGGGCCCACAGCCGCAGCATTCCATGCTTTCGCCCTGAGTCTGTCTTGTTCAGGCAGCTGGGACTTAGAAGGGACCCTGAGAAGCTTCACGCTGTAACTGGTATGTACAAGACAAACGCAGCACACAAGCAACTCGTCATGCTCAGACACAGAAGGCGCCTTTTGACAAGATGAGTGAAAAGTGAACACGGTACAATTAGGAAATGCATCATTCATAAAAAGCGATGTATGCAAATACGCAGACGGATCCTGAGGTGACTTTTCTAATCCGTGAGGCTCAGAGACTATGGAGAGAAGTAGGGGCCTGGCGCCCTCACGCCACAGGCTGGTGCTTGGGAACATGCCAAGGCCTCCCAAGGCCGGGTGGAAGCCCACCAAGGCTGGGGCACTGAGCCGGTAGTCCCAGCTACTGAGGAGGCTGGGGCAAAAGGACTGTGAGCTCGGGGACCAGGCTGGGCAACTCTGAGACCCGGCCTCAGAGTAAAAGGCCGCGCTGAAATACCCCTGCAGAGCCCCGCTGCACTGCTCCCCCGCAGCCTCCCCAGGGGAAGTCCTGCGCGTCTCCCCTCAGGTCTCAGCGTCAGGGCAGCTCGCACGTCCAGAGGGAACTTCCGAAAGCCGCAGCCAGGCGCTGGCGTACTTGTCTCAAGTCCCTCTGCCCAGAGAACTGACTCGTCCTCAGCCCCACCCAGAGGCCTGCGCTGTGTGTGCATCTGTAGACTGCAGCGGCATCGCGCCATTCTCCCCCTGCCTCTGAGGTGCGGTCACAGCGGTGGCCTTCAGAATGCGGTGCTTGGCTCACTCCCCGGGGGGCGCCTTTTACCGGGTGTGCTCGGAATTGCTTGGGGGACTGTGGTTCACAGCCCTGCCAGCCACTCAGGAACGGGCGTGGGTGTGCAGGGCTCACGGCCAGTCAGTGCTTACGAAGCCTGAGCCTGAGCCCTTCTGCCTGGGAGAGAGCGCCGCCCTTTCTCAGTCCTCGAGCTCAGTGGCCGACCACAGGCTGGTGGGCGCCATCAGTGGCGCTGGCTGTGTGGGTGCAGGGAGGGAGGCGGGCCGGTGCCTGAGGAGAGCAGGCCTTGCGTGCAGTGTAGTGCAGCGCACACGCCACGGCAGTATAGAAGTGCTAGTTTCTCGTACGCCCCGGGCTGAGCCTCCTTTACCCCCAACAGACTCAGTTTCCCGCAGGTCCGTGTGTGTCTGTTAGTAGCGCTTGGCAGCCAGGAGCAAAGCAGCTGGCCTTCGGCTGGAAAGGAAGCAGAGAGAGGGACAGAGCGGGTGCTCACTCTTCGTCCGCTGTCTGGGGGCTCCGATGGTCTGCAGGTCTGAAGGCCCAGCTCGGCCCGGCCTGCTGTGCACAGAGGCAACTCCCAGATGCCTCAGCGGAGCACTTGGGGATGGAGGGGGGCTGGCCCCTGACCCGCCAAAGGGAAAGGCCTGGGGAGGGGCTGGGAGGGCAGTGTGTTTTAGGTTCTATGTGGGGATCATGGGGAGGGAAGCCAGTTTGTCTGAGCCAGTGATGTGCAGCTGCTGCTGGATGTGACCGTGGAATGCGGGGTACCATGGCCTCTCGGCCAGACCCACACCGCCTCCCTCGGGGTGAACAGGTCTGACTGTGTTTTCTAAGGCAGTGGACAGCTATTTTGTTCTACTCAGAACTTGCTATGGGAAAGCGCAGTTTTCCCTGACTCAGGGAGAACTCTCAAAGCGCCTTGGAAAGTACTTTGCTGGTGATGGTGAGAGCTGGGAACTTCTAGAGTAGTCTTTGTCTTTATGTAACAAGTACGTATGATGCAAATGACGTGTCGTGTGCATTTCTACATACTGTTCACTCCATCTTCACATGGAGCAGGTGTTCTCGTTATCCGTGCTTTGTAAATGAAGGCACTGAGGCACAGGAGTGTGGGTGGGCTGCCCACATCACACCCACAGGTAGAAAGTGTTACCGGGGTCTGAGCCTGGGACTTCACAGTCAGGCCCGTGCAGCAGCATCCCCGGCTCTGTTTGTTCAGCCGGCGTTCACCTGGCACGCACTCTGTCCCCGTGACGGACACATCTGCTCTGTGTGGAGGGACACAGAGGGCAACACCTGCGTGGCCCTCGAGAGCCACAGTGAGATGCACGGAAGGTGAACAGAAAGTGCAGAAACATGGCAGGTAGTTAATGTAAGTGATGAAGACACTGTAAGGGGACCCAGGGCTCCAGTCAGGGGCGAAGTCCTGACTCTCCTCCCTCACAGTCCCCCACACCTTGCCTTCTCGTCATGTGGCCCCATCCGTGCCCATCCGGACCCCTGGTGGCGGCAGCCTCCGCCTTAGCCCATCTGTCTTTCAAGTTTCGGTCTCCAAACCTCAGTTGTCAAACACCCAGAGAAGATTAGTAACGTTAGCACTGCATTGGGACAGTGAGCTTATTAGAATTTTATCTGAATATCAAGCAATTTGAAATATAAAGTTTTACTATTATTTCTTACTGTCCATGGATGTTTGACTGGATAAGTCCCTGTAGAATGTTAACAGACAACAGTGATATAGTTTTACAGAGAAAATTTGAGATCAAAAGCCATACGTGGTATTTTAGCATGACAATCATGATGACTTTTTGTAACACACTTAAATGTCCATCTTACTAGAGAACAGCCTTTTTAGTCAGTCATCTCTATCCAGTACATAAGAAGTTCTTATCTGATTTATTGTCCTTTAATGGGATGTCATTGAAGAAGTTTGTGAAATTGCTTGGACTGGTTAATGTCTGAGCATCTCTGAGTGTGGTGGCACATATATAGCACATACATCACGTAAGTTTTTGTTAAAAAGAAATTACCATTTGACTGGTGACCCCATGTTGGCTTGACATGAGCCTCCTATCGTAAGTAGCTGGAGTACAAGAGGAAACAAATGTCTGCATCTGAAAGAAATTGTTTACCGCCATAATCCCAGTTTTACATTCTAGAAGACCTGTACATCTGAATGCGTGAATACATTTAGTATCCCATGAGATTAACAATGATGAATTGTCATAGACATAGGAAAACTTCGGTTTCTTAATTTAGTTTTGCACCAAGAGCATCTTTTAATAAGAACTCTTATTGTGATATTTATAGAAAACCTTTTGGTGATGACCAATGTAAATATGTCATAATAACATTTTTAACAGTGTTTGTTGAGGTGTCTCGCATCAGGATATGGAGACTGCTGTGGTGTCCATGCATGAACAAGGCCTGGAGAAGTACTTCCAGGCAGCTGCTTCCTTACGCACTAAAGGGAGCCGTGTCCATGAGCTTCTCCCTGGCCTAAGGGATTTCTCTTTAATTATCTTAGCAAATTTTTGATGATCTATGAGAACCCAGTCATAACAATTAACACATTTTTTTATTTTAAAGAGACAAAAAAGCAATAAAAATGATACACGATTTCAAAACAAGATGATAGGAAATTAACAGTGGTTATATTGCATATTGTTAGCTTCAAATAATTGCTCAGATTACCAGGTACAAAAGCATGCAAAATTGTTCGACAATATAAGCACTAACAGTTCCTTTTAATGAACTAATAGAAATTAGTAGTACAGTCATCTTAACTATCTTGTATGTGTGTATATATCTTTTTTTCACTTCCTTCTTTTCTCCTTTCCCCATCCCAGTTGTTCTTTCCCTTTGAGCAGTTTCTTTCCATTTCACTGTATCTGTTGTACCTTTTGGAGAATAAATATTTTTTGACCAATGAAAGATTCCCAAGTTATTATAACAGAGAACAACATGCATTGCATTTATAAAACCAATTTTGATATCACTTTAATGCATTGGCAACCTGGATAGAAGCATGTCTTTAATTTTAATGACATTTCCCCATAAGCCAACTTAAATTACAGACAAAAGTTTCAAAAATCCAAAAACTGCAAAAACAAGAAAAATTTGAGCTCAAGAAAAACACCTCTTCACAGAGTAGACAGACAGACAAATACATACACGACAATTTGTTTATAAAATCAAGAGTGCACTCAGGTGTATTTTGGCCAAATTGAATTATAATTATAATGGCTCTTACAGTGTTTTGTTTGTAATTGTAAATAAATTAGTCAAAACTTTTTGTAGGTCAGTTAACAGATCTCATAATGATAATTTAGAAAGAATAAAACCTTTTACCTGCAGTCAGTACTATTTGTATTTTATTTTGTTTTAAGACTACTGGTAACTTCGTGCCCCTTCCTTTATGTACATCTCCAGTCATCTCCACACTTTTTTTTGTCGTGTTTTGGTTTTTTTGTTTTTGTTTTTGTTTTTTTGTCTTTCTGAGGCAGGGCCTTTCTTTGCAGTTCAGGCTGGCTTGAGCTCACTTTGTAGCCCAAGCTGGTCTCAAACTGGCAATGATCCTCCTGCCTCAGCCTCCCGAGTGTTGGGATTACAGGGACGCACCACCACGCTCAGCTTTTCCACATGTTCTGTCACCTGCTCAGACTTCTTTTCCTCTAGCGGCATTTCTGGGCTCACTCTGAAGACTTAACCCAGCCAGGCTGTGTCTAAAGCAGTTATAGAGATTTAGGCCAGTCAGACACTAACAGCCATTTCAGGTGGAGGTGTGTGCCTGATGTGAATCAGTACAGATCTCATTGGCTGCACTCTCTTGAGAAATGAAATAAAAAATTCTGCAAGATTTAAATCTGATGGAGGCTTATGTGTAGTATGGGCCAACACTGAACTTCAACACGATTTGGATTTTATAGCATGGCAAGCTCTGAAATGATTTTAAAGAGTTCTACAGCTCTGGCAACCCACTTGTGCCTTTGCTTTGGCTCCCACCAGGACTGCACCCCGTCCCCTGGCTGCATGCCCTTGTGGCACCCTAGCACCCATTCTAAGGGCAAATCTGATTGTAATTTTTATTTATATTCTCAAAAGCCAATTGAGCCGTGATAGCTTTGGTCCTGCTTGTGTTGCTGTGACTACCTGCACCCACACAGCAGCTGGTGCTGTGACGTAGAGCGGCAACCTGGGCACCCAGGAAGGGCAGGCACGGTGCACGCCACACATGGAAGGGAAACCGCCGTAGCTGTCCGTCCGTGCTGGGACAGACGTGCTGCCACAGGGCTCCCTGAACCAGGGCACATAGCCCATGTCCCCCTGCAGCTGGCCTGATATTTTCCCACGTCCCCTGCCCCGGCCGGGCTCCAGGCAGAGCTCCAGCTTCCCGCAGCACGGCTGGCCAGCACCACCCAGCAGGCTGCCTCCCCTGACCAGGGCTGTGTGAGGCTCGGGGAGGGGTGGAGCCCAGCGATCGCTCCTGTTCTCATACTCCTGGCTCTCAGCTGTCCCTGTAAGAGTCCGTAGGGACCTGATAGATTTGTGCTGGTTTGTTTTCTCCCGAGCCTTTCAGATCGAAGTGGTCTTTCCCAGACACCTCAGGCGGCAGTGACTGGCCGCTTTGCAAGGACTCCTGTGTCTGGGAAGTCAGCGCTTCCCGCAGAGCTCTGCCGGGAGCATTTTTGTTTCCTCTGTGCCTGAAGCAGGAGCTGTTGGCTGTGAGCACCATATGGACGTAGAACTGAGCAGACCAGATTCCAAGCTGAGGAAATCCCAGGGGAAATCACTTTTCCTGTCATGTGCCCTTTTAAGATTTTTTTCCGCTTCTCTCCCAGTTGTCCCTATCCACAGTGCCGGTCTGAGGAGACCGCGGGTTCTATCTGGCCACCTCTTGGGGTGTTTTGTTAACTCTGTTCCTGGCACGGGAGCCCCTGAGCATTAGCATGGCTCTTCCTGGGCCTTTCAGGCCAAACTGGTTTTGCTCCGAATGCCTCTGGGGTGACAGCCCTGACACCTGAGGCTGGAGCCTTTTACAGTAAACTCCAGCATAGAGCTAAATTGATCTGCAGTTTGCCCTGTGTTTTATTCCTGGATAATTAAACAAACTGCTTCTCACAGAGGACGACATGCCCTTTTCTTGCTCAGGAAAAGCTCTTTCCCTGTCTTCCCCACGCACCCCTGGCAAAGATTCCCTCTGTGAAGGCCTGCTGCATCTCAGGCCCTTTCCACTCTGAGTGGACTTCACTCCTTCAGGCTAAAAGTCCTAGTCCAGGGATTTCAGGTCCCTGTCCGGGGACCAGTTATCAGGGTCTCAGCCCAGCCCTGATCTCCTAAAAGAGTAGACAGCGAACAGCTTAAGTGAAAGAGACCAGACGTATGATTTGTGGAGCTCCTGGGAAGTCAGCGCTCTCTAGGAGTAACGGCAAAGAGCTCCCCACACAGCCCATGTTTATTTGGTTTCCAAATGAAGGAAGGGGTTACTGAGGCACGGCGGGAACTGAGCGGGACCTTGGGAGTCAGCTCAGAGACTTTCCCAGGCAGTAAATTTTGCCAGTTCAGAGGACTGTTTGATCTCCAAGGTTGGCAGCTCTGTTGCTCTGGACTAGGAGTGCCAGCAGCCCACGTCTTCGGCTGCCTGGCTCTGGGCTTGTCTTGACTTCAGAGCACTGTGCATGTGCCCCTTTCCGACAGCCAGAGGTCCCTGTGTTCAGCCTCTTAACCCTGCACACCTGGTCTCCAGCACCTCTTCTTCCATGAAACCATTAATGCCGTCGTCACAGGGTCCCCCGGATGCCCTCACTGAGCCCTCCTGTCTCACCAGCCCCGCTTCCAAATACCATTAACATGTGAATTTGAGTCAAGAGCCTAGTTTGGTTTTGTCTCGGTTGTTTGTTTGTTGTCTTGTTTTTCTGTAGTGCTGGAGATTAACCCATGGCCTGACACTGAGCTGTATCCCCAGTTCTTGCTCATTTTTTTGCTTTTTTAGCTTTTTTATTTTTCAGTGCTGAGGACCAAACCCAGGGCTTCCCACTTGCAAGACAAGCATTCTTCCGAGCCCGTCTTATTTTTTATTTCAAGACAGTGTTTCACTAAATTGCCTAGGCTGAACTTGAATTTGCAATCCTCCTGCCACATCCTCCCAGACCACTGGCATTCCTGCCGTGAGCCACCATGACCAGCTTGGGGGTTGGCGTGACCTTTTGGGGACACATTCAAACCACAGCAGGAGTGAAGGAAGATGTCCCTAGAAGAGGATAGTTGAGTGTTCAGGAGAAGCAAGAGACAGCTGGTGTGGTGGCGCACGCCTGTAATCCCAGCACTCGGGAGGCTGAGGCAGGAAGATCGTTGTGAGTTCAAGACCAGCCTGGGCTACAAAGTGAGCTCAAGGCCAGCCTGAACTGCATAGTGAGACCCTGTCTCAAAAAGACAGAAAAAAAAAAAAAAAACAGGAGAAGCGAGAGAGGGCGGGAAGACAAGAGAAAGGAGAAGCACTCCAGACTAAGGAACGGCATGTATGAGATGAGGGAGATTGGAGCGGCTTAGTGGGTCTGTTTTGCCTTCCGCACTAGGCGTGTCGGGGACTCTGACTACAGTGACGGGGAAGAGGACTTCTACTACACCGAGATCAAGCTCAACACCGACTCAGTGGCGGAGGGGCTGAGCAGCCTGGCCCCGGGCTCACCCTCCCAGTCCTTGGCCTCCCCTCCGACCTTCCCCATCCCAGACTCAAGCCGAGCAGAAACCCCTGGTGCCAGAACCGACTCTAAGCTGGTGACACCGTTGAGCCGCTCCGCCCCCACCACCCTCTACCTCGTGCACGCGGACCACGCGTACCAGGTGACTGGCGGGACAGGGAGGGCAGTCGCTCCAGCCGGCCCGAGACGGGGGCCGTGGCCTGGGAGCGAAAGATAATTCAGAGGGAAAACAGCGTCACACGCTGCGTGTCAGTAGCTAGGTTGGTTTCTTCCTTTCTCCTAGGAAAGCCAAGATCTCACAGATGAGCCTGTGGATTCTCAGGTTCCCCAGTGCTGGCTGTAGGTCTGAACCCGTAGAGGCTGTGAGGAGGATTAAAGTCCTTAACATTATAAAGCTCTCAGAACAGGGCCTGGCACCTTGTACCTCTTAAACTAAGAATAAAATACATGACGAGAGGAGCCTTGAAAGCTTTGGCACGGTGAGGAAGCCCCCTGCACTCCAAATCTGGGACTCCAGCCCACCCTGCCTTTTAAATGGGCGGCTAACCCGCTCGTGGTTCTCAGTGTCAGTGTCTCCTGGAACTGGTGGGAAGTGGAAATTCTTGGGGACCCTGCCCCAGACCTGCTGGCTCAGGGCCAGGAGAGGACCCAGCAGACCCTCCAACAGATTCTGATTCCCGCGAAGTCTGACTTCAGAGGTGAATCCCACCGGAGCTCCTTTCCCCCGTCATTATCAACTCATCTGCGGGTTTTTGTGAAAATCTACTTTATAAACACGAATTATGTTCTTCCATCCCTGTTTTATAAAACTTTTTATGAAACCACATAGTAGCCAACTAGACTGAAACCCCAAATTGCTTTAGTCATTCCTGGTTATGAGGCGTCTAGGTCTGGGTCTGTCCTGTTTCTTCTCGATCATTAATCCACTGTGAGCATCTCCCTGCCTGTAACTTTTTTCTTTAAATTCTCAGAAGAGGAATTATTACGACAGTTGGAACATGAGTGAGCAGTTTATGGACCTTGCTATGTATTTCCAAAATACTATCCACTGGTACCATTTACAAAATTACTGTCACTAGCCCATAAATTTGTAACTAGAAAAACTAAGCCCATAAAAGAAGAACTCAGCCACCCACTTAGCTGACTTGGACTCAGGAACAGTGGGGAGGACCGATGATTAAATTGCCTAACGTGATAAATTTCATTCCTGACCTTCACTGGTAGTCCAGAGAATAACTCATTCGTCATTCTTGTTAGGGTTGCTTCTGTGTCAGAAATCACGGTCTTGAACAAAATTAAATCATTTTGCTCACCTGTACAATGAAGAGTTGGAACACACACTGTGTGATCTAGAAGGTTCTTACCAAACTTGTACCCATAGTATTATGACTTTTTCCTACATTTTGTAAATATTCAGCCTAGAAAATACTAAACACATTTCAAGAAAAGAACGCTCACTCCTAAATGCAGTCACCAGAGGGCCCCTTGGTTAATATGTTCGTATGTCCTTTCATACTTCGTTCTGTGTCCATAAATACACGTTTTACAAAGAAATCTATTGCAGCCCTTTTTTACTCTCCCCTCCCCCGCTTAATCTACCATGAACATTTCCCCACACTAGTGAGTCTTTTTAATAATATTTCAAGAGCTCCTTGGTATATCATACGAGATATTTTTACCTTTTTCCCTACTACTGGACATTCCTGTCCTTTTCAGTTTTTAATATCTGCTATCTGGTTCTGCAATGAACATCCTGGTACTCTTTTCCTGAGAGTGAATTCTTAGCAGTAGACTCGCTAATTCACAGAATGCTAAGCATTTTTTGGTACACACTGCGAAGTTACACTTCCAAAACGATGTGCCAGTTCACTCATCGTTTTCCAGTTTATTCTTCAAGTATGTATCTCCCAATCCGATAGGAAAGAAGAGCTTATACGTTTCCTAAATATGCTTATGTATATGAAATAAAATTTCTCCTCAGAAATTAATAGTCAAAAGCCATCCGCTTTAGATAGATTGCTTGAAGATACAGAGGCGGGTATCCTTTTCTAGCTACTCCCTGTGACCCTGTTTAATCTGCACCCATTAGGTAATTAGTCTAAGTAAGTAATGCAGCCGATACCATTCCTGAGGCCCTGCTTCGGTAGCGACAGCTGATGGCTCTGAGGACAAACGTTCCTTCATAACAGCTTTCTCTGTTTTCCCCTGAACAGGCCACACCCCCGGTGACCATTCCAGGATCGGCCAAGTTCACCCCCAACGGCAGCAGCTTCAGCATTTCCTGGCAGTCCCCCCCAGTCACTTTCACAGGCCTTCCAGTAAGTAGAAACACAAGCCAGAACCTACGAGAGCCAAATGTAAACTTACAGGAAAACTGTAGGAAATGCACGTCAGAATGCCAGAGGTTCTGTATTTCTCAAGCAATATTTATAAACTCATCGGCAAGGTATCTCATGGTTCAGGCATCCCAGTGGGAAGGTGTCTTGACTGGCATTTTAGAAAACTGGAAGAAAGTTTCAACTGTTGGTAAATAAGTTGTTGGAAATACATTTTTGTGCTGGTGATATTTCTTTATGTTTCCAAAAGACATATAGAATAGCTAAAACCATAGCTTATCTGGAAAAGGTGGTATTTGTCATTATAAATAACTTTATAAAAATTATTAGTTTGAAATTATTATTTTGCAAGTGTGTCCCTTGAAGATTGAAAAGTAATTTAAATCTTTTTTTCTTTCAAAGCCTGCACAATTCATGCTGATGATTTGAAAATAAGCAAGTGCTAAAACATGCAACCAGATTTAAAGAGTCCCTAAGAATTAACTTGACATATTAAATGATTTCTGTCTGATAAATTGCCATGAGTGAACTTGATTCCTAACCGCTTATTTAAAAAATGTGTTGGGTCTTGTATGGCTTATCGCAGAACACCCGAGACCCACACCCTGAGGACACCCACGGTGCTGTGTGACTCCTGATAAGGTTCGGAAAGTGGCTTACGATAGCAGATGTCAGCTGTGTTCCCCCCACCCCTCAAAGAAGCCACAAAAGCTTCTTATTGTCAACCACTGGGGACTCTAGGGGCTCCCAGCAAAGTCTAAAGCCTCCTGTGGAGCTGATAAAAATGAAAGTGGCCGAACGAATTATGCTGTGCTCTGTGGATGAATATTTATTAAATTCCATAGAGGAACAGCCAACAGTAAAAAGCATCCTGCTGGCAGCAATTTGGAAATGGTGGCTTCCAGAAAACACTCCTGGAATGTGATTTTTAAACAATACCAGGGCTCTGGAATACACACTGCTCGTTTAATGACCAAATTCAGGCTGCGCAGCCACATCGTTAAATTAATTGGCCGCTAAATGAGTAATTGTATATAGTATGTATATTACAGTATTCAAAACAAAGAAGTGGTCAAAGGAAAATTCAACTTGATAACTCTTACATACACAGTACTGTAAAGAAATAACAAAACCACAGTGCTTTATTGTACAGTACAATCAGCAAAAATTACTGTAGACAGTGTACTGTATAAAAAAGACATTGAGGCGCTGTAAACAGGGTGTACAGAACTGTACCCAAAAAAAGGGGTCCTTAAGTCTGGAACTTAAGGAAGTAAGTCTGAACAGCATACCTCGGTCATAAGTCCGAGCCATCATTACGCAGGTAGACTGTCAAATGAGGAATGTCTGTATTGGATGTCGTATTATCAAAATAGTTCAGGGAAGATGATTCCTCCCTGAATGCACGCTGCCCAGTAACCTTTAGAATAACGTCCAGCAGCCTCCGACCCATCATCGTATCCGCTGGGTTCAGGCAGTGCTGATCCCTCACATGTCGGAAAAGGGAGGGATGAAAATGATTCAGAAAACCCAGGATATTTATGGGACAGCAGTGATATGGAAGTGCTCATCCACGATTACTGCACACAGACGCAGTCCAGAGGTGATCTTCAGCAAATCCGTAAAGCTTCTGCTCCTGTCCTTCCTCACTGCCCTTTCCTGGTGCCTTCCCAGCTGCCGTGAATCTTCAAGGTTACACTGACCGCACGGTTGGATGTTGTGGAAGCTGTGTTCGAAAACGCAGTTTTGGCTCATTAATGAGGGAGCTTCTGCAGGTCGTTACAAGGGCCAGGGTAACTAAGGTACTACCAGTAAGATATCCCAGGGCCATGAACCTGCTCGACCCTGCAAAAGGTTTTGGAAATGGCAGTGGCTTTAATAGAGTCACTGCTCTGTCCACCTCTGCAGTAAATACTTGGGAGGATAGAAAGATACATAAAGTGTGTAGTAAAGAAGCTTACTCACCAGGGGTATAATTCAAAAATTAAACACAAAACAATGAGCCAAGCATAACAGGGTAACTAATTGTTCAGTTGTTTCCCTTGAGAAAATATGTGCATCCCTATGATATGAGACATTTCTACGTATCAGAAAGTTTCAAAATTAACATCACTTCTCAAGAGTTTCTTATATTTGAGAATTTATTAACTCAAGTGAATCATTTTCTTATCACCTGAGGAGCTTTGGGAAGCAAATAGTCCTTAGTGAATGTGCCTGAAATACTGTGAGCTACAGGCCCCGCCTGCTTCAAGACCCAGCCTCCTTCCTGCAGCTGCGTTGTTAAATGACCGCTGAGGGATTACACATAGTGTGTGCATCCCAGTATTCAGAGCAAGGAAGTGATGGCTTTGCTTTTATTTGCACAGCTCTTACATGCAGTACTGTTCTGTGTAGTAATGTAGAACTACAGTACTCTACAATCAGCAAAAGTTACCGTGTAAACGAGAGGTACTGCACACAAAAAAAGACACTGAGGCTCTGTAAACAAGATGTGCAGAACTGTACCCCAAAAAGCAGTGTGCAATTCAGAGCAGTGATTAACCAGCAAGCCATTAAATGGGGAATATGTGTAATTATGGAAGCTGCCAGTTTCCCTGAGCGGCGGTAGCTGCTGGCCACCAGGTGACCTTGGTGGTGGGCATCAGGAGAGACCAGCTTAGTGGTGCAGGTATTAGTTTTGCTTCTGGCAAGACACTGACGGACCACCGTGGGTGTCAGAGAGAACAGTCTGTCCTTGTGGGGTCCCACTCCTCAGTACTCGTAAAGAGGCCCAGAGAGACTGTTCGTATCCCGTGTGACACGGCCCTCTTCTCAGCTGCAGTTACAGAGTTCCGTTCACCCGGTTTCCGAACGCTTTAACTCCTGCCTTGGACTGGGAAGAAGGTACACCGCGTTGCTCATCTGTGGAAAGGATAACTAAACAAACTCTCCCCTCTGCTTCCTTAGCTGGGCTGTCTCCTTTTGCTGAAGGGAAGTGGCGTGGTGTGGTTCTGCTGCTAGCTGCCTGCTCTCCACAATTCCTAAACGTCTCACACAGTGAGGTGCCTCTCAGGATCCTTGATGCCGCTTTTTTTCCAACGGTGAAATTTTAAAGTTCTGCTCGGACACTGTGTATGTCTGTAGCCTAATCTTCATGCCCTGCGCTTTCTCTGAACCCCGCATTTCCTTGTGCTGGTTACCAGGGACATGGTGCCCGGAGCTCTGATGGTCTGTGCAGAGTCCGGGCTAACCAGGTACCCGCTAAACTCCTGAGTCCATTCTGATTTATTTCTTCACGACAGTTCCCATTCTGTCTGGCTGTGTAATCTTCCTTGATCAAGACTAAAATTAGGTCTTTTTAGCAGTCAGGTTTGCCGTTCCTCTTTTAAAATAGGAGTGGGGGTGGGTATTTTCAAAGACTCTAGTTTCACTCTGGAGAACCAAGAGTGCTACACTAAAACTTTCCTTCTGTTGCTTAAGCCCCCATCAGTGCTTTAAAAAAGTAGATGCCGGCTGCACTCCTCTTTCACTGATGGGCTGGCTTCGCGGATGGCCTACGCCATGGAGAGTCGGGCCTGTCACGTGGCCACAGACTGGGAGCGGAAGCTGTCCCTGAACTGCCCGTGCTCGTCCCGGCCCCTGGAAGGCAGGGAGCCAGGTGGAACCCAAGAACCTGGGGGTTTCTTCCTCCTCAGATGGTGTAAGAGTTTTAAATTGTAATCAGTATTAATGATGGCTTCAGTGAAGTCCAAACTGTAGGATCGAGCAGTTTCTACTTTATAAAATACTGTAAAGACTTTTTTTAAAAAAACTTTCTCTTTGTACTCCAAAGCAGATACCCCAGGGTTGCCAGGCTCGTTCAGGGTTCCCTTCCTCCCTCACTGAGACCTGGTGTTGAGGAGGAGGGGGGTTAGACACCTGCCAGAGGGCGGGGGCATTCCCTCGGAGCAGTCCCAGGGTTGGGAGCATTTTACTTATTCATTTGCCTGTGCTCCATTTCCTGAAAGTGGGCTTTAATGAGTTCCCTAAGTAAGACCCGCTTCCCCAGGTGCAGGAGAAGGCTGATCTGCATATTTACAAACACTGCTCTGCGTCCTGTCTTCTCCAGCCTAAGGCTGTGCGGGATAGAGGGAAGGAGACCCTCACTAATTATAGCTGTCTTTGACCTGCTTTTCCCCTAGTGCCTTCGGCTCTGACTCCCTCCATGCCTTTCTCTGACTTTCTTTTTATGACAGAAATCAAGCGCTCTTCCCTTCAGTTAGTCAGCTCAAGCTACCAAAACAAAACACTATAAACCGAATGGCGTGAACAACAGAAATTTACTTTTTCACAGCCATAGAGCCTAGAAGTCCAGGATCTAGGTGGCTCCTGGCGAAGGCTCTCCCCGGGATTGTAGGCTGGGCCTTCCCTGAGTGCGGGAGGGTAGTGCGGAGAATGAGGGGCACAAGAGGAGGAGGGGGAGACCCTGATGCCCTGTAGGATCAGGGCCGCACCCTCATGACCTCATGTAACCTTAATCTCTTTAAGCCCTACCTGTATCTCCAAGTACACCACATGGGGAAGGGGCAGCAGTGCTTAATTGTTAGATGCTTCATGGGTTTTGGATTTGGGAGATTTTTTTTTTTAGTGCTTTGAGAGAGGGTTCAAAAAGGTATTTTATAAGAGCTTAAAAAGCCAGGTATAGTGGCACACACCTGCATCCTAGTGCCCTGGGAGGCTGAGACAGGAGGATTTTAAGTTTGAGCCCAGCCTGTGCAATTTAGTGACTTCTCGAAACCTTGTCTCAGAATAAAAAATATAAAGGGTTGGAGATGTAGCTCAGTTGAAAACGCTGGGTTCAATCCCCAGTACCACCCAACTAATAATGATGATGATGGTGGTGATGATGGTGATGATGATGATGATGATGATGGTGGTGGTAGTGATGATGATGATGATGGTGATGATGATGATGATGATGATGATGGTGGTGGCGGTGGTGGTGGTCAAAACCAGCCAAAGGT